GATTTGATTGAACCTGTAGTTAATAAAAGTACAGAGTGGGTTAGGTGGAGTAGTGATCGTGCCTAAGTCGAAAAATCCGGACGAAATACGCGTATGTGGGGACTATCGCAGAGTTAATGAAGCCATTAAGAGGGAACACCACCCTATGCCTACCATTGAGGAACTAACAGATATGAGCAATGCAGCCTATTTTTCTCGCCTGGATTTAAGAAGCGGATACCATCAAATTGTGCTCAACGAAGAATCGCGTGATATAACAACTTTTACCACTCACAAAGGTCCTTTCCAGTGGAAAAGACTCCCTTTCGGAATCAACTCTGCAAGCGAAGTGTTTCAAAATGCTATCCAGCATGCACTGCAAGGATTGAATGGAGTTAAAAACATTGTTGATGACATCATTGTTTGGGGGCGAACTCAAAAAGAACATGATTATAATCTTCAGGCTCCATTGCAGAGACTATAAGAGACACAGGATTGACTACAAAAAAAAGCAAGTGCCTTTTCAATGTGGACAGTTTATGGTTTTATGGCATGATTCTTAGTAAGAATGGGATTAGGCCTGACTAAGAGAAAGTTGTTGCAATCAAAAATACACCTGCCCCAAACAATGTAAAAGAACTTCGTAGCTTTCTAGGACTTGTAAATTATTGTTCGAAGTTTATTCCTAATTTCTGCACCATTACGGCGCCGCTACGGAAATTGGACCGCAAAAAGGGTCCATGGACATGGGACGCAAGTCATCAAGAGGCCTTTGATCAGGTTAATGTACGTTGGTATGTTATGACCTTTTCAGATCAACGGGTGTGGTTGTGGATGCTAGTCCTGTAGGCCTAGGCGCTATTTTGGTTCAACATGACGAACAGGGCATTTTGAAAGTGATTGCTTTTGCTAGTAGAGCACTAACAGTAGTTGAACAGCGGTACTGTCAGACAGAACGCGAAGCATTGGCATGTGTGTGGGCATGCGAGAAAATTTATTTATATTTAGTTGGTTGTCAGTTTACCTTGTATACAGATCATCAAGCGTTAGAAATCCTTTACTCAGCAAAGGCCAAACAATCTGCTCGAATACAGAGATGGGCATTGCGACTCCAGCAGTATAACTACACGGTCAAGTATCGTCCAGACACCAATTAACGAGCCCTCGGGACAGTCTATTGCCAAAGAATATATTAACTTTGTAATAGAGCAAGCCATCCCTAGAACAATTACCTTGTCGAAGGTGCAAGAAGCGACAAAGAACGATAAAGAACTGCAGTCAGCTGGACGAGCACTTCAGTCTGGCAACTGGAAAGAGAAATCCATATCAGTTTATTTTGCAGTACGGCATGAAATAACATCAGTAACGGGTGTACTGTTGAGAGGACACCGACTGATTATACCTATATCACTTCGAAATAGAACTCTAGCCCTGGTACACAGGGGACATTTGGGAATTGTCAAGACCAAACAAAATTTGAGAACCAAGGTATGGTGGCCTAGATTAGATAAAGAACAGAGCAACATGTAAAGGAGTGTTTGACGTGCTGAATATCTGGTAATCCTGAACTCCCTCCGCCTCTAGCAGTTGTCACCATGGTCATGTATTCATGTTGATTTCTACGGACCAGCACCTACAGCCACAGGAGAGCATCTATTGGTGATGGTAGATGAAACAACCGGATTCCCAGAAGTTGAGATTATGAATAAAACCCCAACTTCTCATACAATACGAGCGTTTGAAAACGTTTTTGCCCGACACGGACTGCCAGACACAATTAAGAGCGATAATGGGCCGTCGTTCCAGTCCAAGGATGTTAAGGACTATCTGACAACACATGGCATCCACCATCATTGTGTTACTCCTTTATGGCCCCAGGCCAATGGAAAGGTGGAAGCAGGGCCGTAGCTAAGCATGCATAGTTCGGGGGGTGTAGGCCAAAAATTTCCGAATGACGAAAGAAATTTCCGAATATTTCATGGCATACGAAGCCACGAAGGTGTTTGCTATCCGGAAAATGAAAACGCAATTTACAAACAAAAATACTCGTATTTTACGCACAGACATATTACAGAAGCATGCAGTTCCGTAGGAAGTTCTTTTTTATAAGGGGGTGGCGAGGGCCGAAGGCCCGAGGAAATTTTTAAATTTAGAGTCTCTTAAGCCATTTCGTGGACTTTGGGGGAAATTTTGACAGAATTCTGATGGTCAAAAAACAGAGTTTTAGCACGTCGAAATTTACAATTAATTTGCTTACAATTTAGAAGAACTAAATGGGCGAAGGCGTATATGGGTAATATGATTCTTTGCGGTTTGTCATGGGTAATGTAGCCGCTTAAAATAAGATATATTAAGGGCTTCCCCCTCCCCCCACCACCATTTCCACGGCCCTGGGAAGTAATAAACCGAAAAACATTTACCGATCTACGATTTGTTAAATGTTATCCATGTAAATGCCGTGATTTTGTAAATCAGTTTATGATACTGACACTACAATTTTATAATATTTTCTCTGTTTAATTAATTAAACAACTAAAATTTTGTTATACTATTACTGCCATAATTTTCCGAATGACCAACCTGATTTTCCGAATATGTTAATTCTAAAAAAGTTGGGGGGGGGGGTTAACCACCCCCCAATACCCCCCCCCCGTCGCTACGGCCCTGGGTGGAAGGCTTCATGAAACCTATGGGTAAAGCCATTCGAGCGGCTTGGACGGAGGGTCGAGATTGGCAAAGAGAACTATTTGCATTTTTGACGAATTATCGTACCACGCCCCACCTATCTACAGGTGTGGCGCCATCCGAGATGCTTTACAAAAGGGTAATTCGACCTACCGTTCCGTCTTTCTCTCAGAGACCTGCCAATACAGCTGCAGAAAGGGTTTTGAAAGGAAAGGCTAAGTCAAAACAATATGTAGATGCTAGAAGGACATACAAGAAAGTCAACGATAAAGGAAGGAGATACGGTGTTGGTGAAACAGAAAAAGAAGAATAAGTATACAACCATGTTTTGTCCTCAACCATACAAAGTTATCAATGTGCGATATTCCAGAGTAACAGCGCAAAGGGGCGATCATGTGATTACAAGAAACATTTCGCATTTTAAGAAATTTAGTGGAGCGTATAGAGAAACTGTTCCGAAGCCCGAGTCAGAAGACGATATTACCATTGCGGCCCCACAAGCAGGACAGGACAATGAACAAGACATAACTAAAGATAGGTGTCCTTTAAGAGCAAACAGAGGCGTACCGCCAGATTTTTATGGATGGTAAATAACTCTGATAGTTATTTGTATAATTAGTTGTGTTATCAATCGTAGCATGGACTACATGTTTTAGTTCACATTATCAGATTTACTATAGAACTATTTGTTGTGAGAGAAAGAGGGAGATGTTATGTTGGTGTTACATGAATTATAGAACATTGGATCAGGGGGGTGCGGGATGATTGTAAGGAGCACATTTGTGTAGGTTTATATTTTGGGACGTTGAAATAAATAACGATTTTAAAGACACTACAGTGTCGTCAACAAACTTGATTCTTAAAGGCCAATCTGCGATTAGTCCGTTTGTCATTACTGCAAATAAAATGGCTCCTAGCTTCGTTCCTTGTTGAATTCCTCCCTTAACTGTTCTCCATTCAGACGTAGTATCTTCAATTTTTACAGCTTGTTGTCGATTAGTTAAAAATGCCGCGATCCATCTAATGAGCACAGGGGAACACTCAACTTTTCCAACTCGTGTAGTAAAATGTTATGATCAATCAAATCAAATCCTTTAGAGAAGTCCGCAAAAAAGATACGGGCAGCTGTATTTCCACGATCAATTGCCTCAAATATAGCTTGTAGTCAGTGGCGAAACTAGCCCCTTTTAATTAGGGGGTGTCTGGCAGAATTGCCCTGCCAAAACCAATGATGCCCTGCAGCGCCAGCCCAGTACAATAGAGAGTTTGAGCAAGACAACGAAGTACGAAGACGAAGGCATACTTGACAATTTTTGCCATCTGTACATTATCTTGCACATACCGGTGTTGACGTAAGTGGTGGTTGCTCAACGTGTCTTCCCATGTGTCACTGTTTATGATACTGACCATAATTCATGCCCTGATACAGAAAAAAAACAGCGAGACATGAAACTATATCCTGTCTTTGTCCTTCTGCTTTCGTGCAGAACGAAGTTCACAACGAATTTTGCCAAAATATTCGTTGTGAACGAAGGCAGAAGACGAAGACGGGATATGGATTCATGTCTCGCTGTTTTATCCTGATCAGGGTAGGGATTTGGGTTATCATTCACAAACAGCTAGACATGAATCTCTAATCTGTCTTCACTCCTGACCCTAAACTCAGAATGCGCAAGGTAATGTGCAAGACAGGCAAACATTGTCAACCACGTCGTCGTCGTCCGACTTCGTTGTCTTGCTCAAACTCTCTAAGGCAGCGTTTACACTGTACCGTTTTCGTAGCGTTCTCGTATTGTTCGAGAGAACTAGACTATTGTCTTGCGTTCCCTTGAGGATTAAGAACAATACGAGAACGCTACGAAAACGGTACAGTGTAAACGCTGCCTAATATATCACTAAGCTACGTGGCAATCACTGTCAATCATACGAACTGCTTATTGTTTGCTAGCTGTAATAAGTTACTTAATAATTCTACATTCTATCATATAAATTTGCCCTGCCAACCGGGATGATTTGTATTATAACCGTTTGCACTCATTCCCCAGGGACCAACTCAACAAAAGCCGCCATGGCTATGTTGGTGTTCCAGACAAAAGAGTCTAATTAAAATTCTTTTGAATTGCAACACCAACATGGCGGCTGTGACGTCATGCATGTACAAACGCTGTACAGGGTGTCCCAAAAACCTATTGAAATAACGTATTGTTAGAATATGAATGCCCTAGCACTAAGCTGAACGCAAAGATGCGTAAAATATTGACAAGGTGATATGTTATACAGTGTGTATAAAAAAAAACTGAACCCTTTCAAATTCAAATTAGCTATAACGTATTGTAGTAATTTGACAGCTCTAATTGCTTTGAATTAATGGTTGGGTAAGAACACAAAGTCTTGTACTCATGGGACGAAACTCAAAGAAATAAAAATTAGAAAATTTAAAAGTTTTTAAGAGTTTTGTCCCATGAGTACAAGACCTTGTGTTCTTACCCATGCAACCATTAATTCAAAGCAATTAGAGCTGTCAAATTACTACAATACGTTATAGCTAATTTGAATTTGAAAGCGTTCAGTTTTTTTTTCACCCTGTAGATATTGACTTATGTCAAGCTTTTATGCACTTGTGGGTTCAGCAGAATGCTGAGGCATTCAAATTCTAACAATATGTTATTTCAATAGTTTTGGGACACCCTGTATTGTTGCAGCGCGGAAATGAGATAATTTGTATAGGTTATTTTGAGGCAACGAGGGGATATGTGATTTATTCACCGAGGCGCGCAGCGCCAAGGTGAATAAACACATATCCCCGAGGTGTCTCAAAATAACGTACTTATTTTTCACACTGCGAGGTCGCGTTAAAGAGTCAGAAAAGAAATAATTCTTAATGCCATATTGCCTTCGCGATGTTGTTTTTTTCTCATTTTTTGTGCTGCAAAGACATTGCAGGTGAATATTAGAGGGGATTATTAATTGCAGGTGAATATTAGAGGGATTATTAAACGGAAATTGATTAGAGGGGAATATTGATTATATTCCCCAACAAGAACAAAGGAAACCGAGCAGGGTGAAAAATAAGCATGGGATATTTATACTGATGCCAGAACAGTTCCCTGCACAGCGACTTCAAGGAGGGGCAGATATAGCAAGTACTTTCAGTACCGAAATCCAGGCTACTATATATATATATATATATATATATAAACCGGGATGAATCCCACCGACTCTGAGATATCATTTCGCTTACGAAAGTTGAAAACAATTATTGCTCGTTTGGATATCAATAACGATGGATATATAACTACCGAGGACTTCGAAGTGAACGAATTGAGCAAAGCAACCGGAGAGCAAGCGGAATCATGCCACAATGCTTTTGTCTTCGCTGCGGAGATGCTCGGGTACACACGAGGAGTTAAAACGTCAAGGGAAGATGCAGTAAAAAATACGAGCGAGAGAATGTTGGCGGTACCTTGGGAAGAGCAGAAGACAATGTGCTACACAGCCCACAATCATATCTTTGATGCAATCGACACAAATCGAGATGGTCACATTTCCTTGGAGGAATTCAAAGTTTACTTTCATGTGCTTGCTCCTGATACTTCTGATGCCGATAAACTCCTATCGTTCAATTTGATTGATGTGAATCATGATGGCAAATTAAGTCGTGAGGAATTCCTCGAAGCCACATTCGAATATCTGCATGGAGTCCAAGAAACGGAACTGTCGAAAGTATTTTATGGACCATTATTGTCGTAAAATAATTGGTTAATGCTACTTCACATAACATTTGATTTACAGTCTTCGTTGGTTGCTTTGTGTGAACTATGTCATAACAACAGTGTGTTAAGACTGTGAAGATAAGGTTTAAGGTTTAAACAGGCACAATAAAAGTTACAGTAATAGTTTAATAGTTTAGTTTACTCTGAGGTACAGGAATGTACAAATAATGAATGTACAGTACGCGTCGCGTACCAGATTATTAGAGACCTTACGATTTTAGGACGGCAACGCGACGACGACGGCCAAAACAAACTCCTTCAAATAAATGGTAGTAAAGATAAATCGTGGTATATTATCAATCGTATGAATTTAGTACAGTCTAGAAGTTGACGACATGGGTGTTATGGTTGGAATGAGTTCTGCTGAACGCAGTTTGAAGTAGCACTTGTTGCGACTTGAAATGCAGCCGTTGTATCAAGACGTGAAAATCTGTGATTTTGGCGTTGTAAACTGCAGAGCGAGGAAAATGTCTAAATTATTCATTTATTGTAATTATCCAATTCGTTTCAATGATTTATTGTATTGATAGCCGTTTCCGTCGCGTTGCCGTCCTAAATCGTAAGGTCTCTACTGTGGGGTAGTGTTAACAGCAGCCGAATCCGGTATGAAAATCACGACGCATACCGATGCAATCCGGTATACAAAAAACTGCAAACTATTGAAATAACGTATTGTTAGAATTTGAATGCCTCGGCACTCTGCTGAACACACAAGTGCATAAAAGCTCGATTTAAGTAAATTTTATGCATAAAGAAACTGTTTAAGAAGCTGCTTTAAATTCCCAAGAGCAGAAAATCGTGCGCTTTACAAAGATATTTTAATTTGTTAATAGGTACTCGATATTTATAATGCACCCTGTCAATAATTTACGCATCTTTGCGTTCAGCTGCCTTAGTGCTAAGGCATTCAAATTCTAACAATACGTGTTTTTAATAGTTTGCGTTTTTTTTGGACACCCTGTAGTGTAAACGGGGCCTAACTGCTGGAGTTACGCGAGCAACAAAATTGCTGCAACTTGCAACAAAATCTGATTTCAACGCATGTTAAGTAGAAATGTTGACACATGTTGCCTCGTGATTTAAAACGGTCATTTATCGAGCCCCAGAAAGATAAAATGTGGTGTTCCGCAGGGATCTATCTTGGGCCCTTTATTATTCCTATTATAATACTTAAAATATTCAACTCCATCCCTCTACGCAGATGACACAGAAATTTATCTATCCTCTAACGATTGCGATGACATTGTTATTAAAATAAACCTTGATCTTGAAAATATTCGAAAATGGATGCTACAAAATAAGCTCCAAATTCATCCGACAAAATCGAAAAATATGTTCATTGGACCATCGTATAATATTAAACATAAGGTATCTGGTAACCCAATTCTTGTTAATAACGTTCCAATACCCAGGACTGAAAATTATATTTGCCTTGGTGTCAACATTGACGAAAGATTGACCTGGGAAAAACATATTGATATGATATGTTCAAAAGTCAGTGCGGGAATCGAGGCTATAAGACGTATTAGGCCTTCGTATCGTCTGCGACACTAAAATTGATGCGACTTACGATGTTCGGTCGGTTGATTTACTTGAAAGTCTGGGTTGGAAACACCTAGAACTAAGGCGAAATTATCTAAAATCTGTTTTTATCTATAAAATTCTGAATAACCACACCGCACCAAATCTATGAACATCCTTTCGATTGAATAATGCCAATGTGATAATACCTATGATCTTAGAAATAGAGAAACCGATTTGTCTCTTCCTAAACCGAATACCGATTCTGGTAAAAGATGCTTCAAATATAACGGAGCGGTAGTATGGAATAATTTACCGTATGAGGTAAAAGTAGCGGAATCTTTAAGTTCTTTTCAAAGAACTATTAATCAGGCAAACACTTAAAATTGGCTCGTCCTGTTGCCTACTGTATATGTAATTCTTCTTTCTTTGTTTTTGTATTTTTAATGTTTAACTGTACAGTATATTCTCTCCAAATCACGCCCCTCATGGAAATCAGCTCCGAGTTGTTGAGGCCAGCGTGCTTAAATAAATTTTTGTATATTTGTATATACAATTTATGTGTAAACATTTTCAATTGACCATTTGCGTAATAGACTAAATTTTGATCTAAACAAGTCTAGACAAAAATTTCATCACAGCTTGAAATAGACTTGCCCAAGTCGCTCGCTAGGGACCGCGCGTAGCAAGAAGGAAGCGCTTGAGAAAGACGGAAGCGAGCGACTTGTGTCACTTGCCTGATTTTGAATCTTACTGAAAAATTTGGCGCGAAAATCAATTTTGACATAGTGGGCGTTCACCATGTCGATTTCACTAGTTCATTATTGTTTTGGCGCCGTTAGTACAGAATAATAATGAGCATTCACTGACGTCACCGGAGCAAAAATGCACCGATGAATTTGGCGCGCTTGCGGGTGACAAAAGTCCGTCGCTTCCAGGAACCACGAACCGCGGACTTTGGAAAGGCTAAGCTTGAAAGAGCATCACAAAATTAGTAATATTCCAAAGTTTCGTTGCGAAATGTTGTAAAATGCAGATAATATAGGTTATATAGCCTTGCGAAGTTTGCAATTTTCAGTCATTTTAGATTACAAACGGGAAATTGGCAGCCCTTTGGCTTTGGGGCTGTCAATTTCCCGTTTGTAATTTAAAATGACTGAAAATTGCAAACTTCGCAAGGCTATATTATCCGCATTTTACAACATTTCGGAACGAAACTTTGGAATATTACTAATTTTGTGATGCTCTTTCAAGCTGTGATGAAATTTTTGTCTAGATCAAAATTTAGTCTATTACGCAAGTGGTCAATTAACATGCGTTGAAATCAGATTTTGTTGCAAGTTGCAGCAATCGTGTAACCCCATCACTAAATCGTGTAAGTCCCGCTAGCAAATATTTACGTGTTCATTGACTGTGAAAACAATCAATTTCTAAAGAAATGAATAATGATAATAATTTTATACGCCTCGGTGTATATAATTGCTTATAGCAGACAAGGTGTCTGTATATTTACAATATCTCTCATTGGGAGATCGAATTCTAATGATTTAAAAAAAACCCCTCTATTCTAAATCTTCGGCATGTTATCCAAAGGCCCGCGGAAGCATCTCGAAAATCCTAATGTGATTTTGATCGGAAATTTTGCACTTAGTTTTAGCTTCGAGAATGTAACGGGTATCCTCCCCCCCCCCCCAATTTCTCAATGGATTTTAGACTTTTTGAGAAAATGGTTTACTCCATTTACTACTGTTCTAGAACATTTGAAACATTGTTCTGGAACGATATAAAATGGAGTGCACACGGTGTTCTGGAACAGTGTTTAGTTATATATGCGTGCACCCATGCATTGCTATATTCATTAGTTTTTCGCATAATAAATCGTATAATGATTTGCTGTCATTTGTATATCTAAGGTAGCGTCCAGACTGGGTGCCCGGCACTGGTGCCCGGTACTTGTTTTGGCTCCCAGTTTGAACACGACGCTTTCAAATGAAATTGGGCACAGTGCCCAAGAACGGGCACTACCTCTAGAGGTAGTACTCAACAACGGCACTGTGCTCAACATGTTTTGTGAACCATTTTGAACATTGGGCACCAGTGCCGGGCACTCAGTCTGAACGACTCCTAAGTTTGCGCTCCTTCGCCCAGCTGCTACGCTCGTGTTCCAAGATCCGCCATGTAAAGTGTAGTGAAATGTATCTCATCGTAATATTAAATCCTAAGAAAACTAAAGCCTCTGCGGAGGAGAGAGTCTAAGTTTAGTATTTTTGCACAAGTGAATACGATAACAAATCCTACAAGTTGATTGGTCAAATTTGACGTATTCTATGCTGTGTTTTGTATGCTATAGGTTGTATGATGTGTGTTGATGTACACTAAGCCCCTACGTTTGAGGTAAATGTTGAATGCTATAAGTTATGTATTGTATGTTACAAACAATTATGTTTTTATATTTCAGATTCGTCTCATAATATATTGGGTCGTGGTTGCCTTGCTTTCTTTTGCTGTCGTGATTTGGAAGAGTTCGTACAATGACAAGAGCAAGGATCCTCCAGGGACTCCAAATATCATCATTAGAAAAGTGTTCCACATCCTAGCTGTAGCCATATTTATCCCTGGAATCCTATACGATCCTGCATTACTCCACGTATGTTCAGCCGTGGCTACCTCGCTATTTTTATTCGTCGAGGTAAGGTGGATTCACAGGGAAGATTGCGAGGGAGGGTGGACACCCAGAATGGCCGGAAAGAGTGAGTATACACTCATCAATCACCATATTTATAACGTGGTGTTTCAATACGCTTATTGCATGCTGACGTAACACTGGGTCAATAAGAGATGATCCTTACTGGGCCTCTAGAGCGAACAGTTTAGAACTGATAGAACTGGATCAATAAAAGATATTCTTACTGGACCTCTAGGAAGAACATTTTAGAACTGATAGAGCTATCCAGTATAAGTAAAGTTAGTTTAGTTAGGTTTCCTGCTGTAGTAACACTGGATCAATAAGAGATTTTCCTTACTGGATCTCTAAGGAGAAAAGTTTAGAACTGAGGTGGTCGTTACGAAGATGTCTAGAACTGATAGAACTACTGAAATATAAATAAAATACACCCTCAGTCCTGATAGCACTCAGCATTGGCTTTAGAGCCTCGTTTTCGTCATTTGAGATATTGGGTTTAGAGTCTTTTATCTTATTACACGTGGACACATTCATGAAATCATACAGTTATATTAGATATTATTATATACACAAGGTCTGGATATGAGGTATTCTGCAATCTGATTGGTTCTCTACTAGCAGGGTATTAGCTCATATCCTACTAGTAGAGAAAAACAAAATGGCGGCTCAAACTGAATTTCCGATGTTTTGCGAACGAGAAAACGGCAAGTTGTTCGCTTTTTATAGCTCTTACATAATTAAAAACACGATAAAAAACTACCACAAATTGTTTACACGTTAGCAAATTAATTTTTAAAATTTAAAATAGTTAAAAATATATATTTTTGAAAAACTAATCGGCCGAAAGAGCGAAGGTAAAAACATAAACAAAATAGAAAAACATTGAAAATATTCGAAAAGCGAAGTCT